AAGGCCTAATCCCATCCAGCTCACCATATGTGTCAAGGTTAAGCTCGTCTATAGTCTCATTAATTTTGGCTTAAAATATTATGATACAAATTAATTTTCAGGCTTTAAACGATGCAAAATATAGACTAGATTAATTAATACTAACAAACATTTGCACAACAGTTTGAGTTTTTGACTGAAAACTATTGAGATTATGAATCCCACAATAAGGGAAAGTAGCGAATTTGTATATGTTTATAAGGAGCTATACAATTCCTCATATTGCCAATTGAATCCAACTTCATTCATGGTCTCAGATTGATCAAGGTCTTATATACATGGTCCAATGAGATCAGAATACATGGTACAAAAATACAACGTTGTAACATTTGGTTCAATAAGATCGGTTAACCAGGTCAATAATATCGTCAAAATGATTGAAATAAGATTTGGTTCCAAATTTTTCAGCATGAATTTTAATTTTTTTTTGTACAATGGTAAAATTCATTACCAAGAAAAGTTACAAAACAAAGGTCCAAAATAATTACACAAAGGAAAAGTGGATTAAGAAGTCGCAAAGAGATTTCCAAATTTCTCACTGTTAGAAGACAACTCCAAATTACCAAAAACCAAGGATCATCTTCGTGAAAATTAGATGAAGCTGCATAGTATGATTAATTAATATAATGCATCTTTAACAAATACTACCTAATTAGGAAGAAAATTAGATGAAGCTGCCGATGGAAGAAAATGCAGGAAAAGAAAGGGAAAGAGATTAACAGTAGGAAATCGTTGAAATGAGCGGTATTGGAAAGAACTTTTCTTTTTCTTTTTCAAAGATTGTGTTCTTTCCACTCCGCTCATTTCGACAACTTCCTGCCACTCCTCTCTTTCCCCTTTACTCCTTTGATCACCATTTTATCTACCCCACAACTAGAAATGCACCTCTTCCTCTGATGGAACAACTTAAGTAGGAAAAGCTAGGAAAAGAGACGAAAAGGTATGAAATCATTGGAATGAGGGGCTTTGGGGAGAGAAAAAAACACCACTTTATGAATTTATATGAATTATTTTTTTTCTTTCTTTCCAATCCGCTCATTCCACTAACTCCATGCCTCTCCTCTCTTTTTCCCTTTATCCTTTATATTTTAATTTGAGTTTAATTTCCCTAGCGACTCAAATTAAACAGGAAACGGTAGGGAAAGAGTAAAAAAGCATGGAATTATGGGTGTAAGTGGTTCCGAAAGAATAATCTTCACTTTTTGATTTGTTTTTTAAATATTTGTGGGTTTTTTTTTTCTTTCTTTCCGATCCACTTACACCAATAACTCCATGCCACTCCTCTCCTTCCCCCTTTTCCTTTTTATTTGATTTTCCAAAGCTCACATAGAAGAAGAAGATGGTGTGTTTGTATATATAATGGGAGAGGGAGAGGGACTAGGATTCTCTTCCCTCCTCCTTCCATCCCCTCCTTTCACATTCTCTATTTTATTTTTCTCTTTCTATAAAAAAAAAAAAACTAATATAAGATATTGACGTGGCTTAACCATAACCGTTAAAATAAAAGGGGATGGAAGGAAAAGGAAAAAGAAGAGAAAAGAACGAGGGAGAGGGAGAGGATAAATCATAAAAGTACAGAGGTTGGTGAGGCTTTTAGTTTCGGAATTCGAACGATTTGAAACACGCATCGATTGGAACTTGAATGCATTCAGCTGGCGTGCTTGCTTGGACGACTTTCTATGTTATATGGGCTTCACATTACATTGGGCTTGTTTATTTTGGGCCTTGAGTTTTCAATTTGATCTTAGCCCAATCGATGTCCATGTTCTGCATTAGGAATCCTTATTCGTTTTGTTGATCAACCTAGCCGTAGGGGTGGAAAAAATTCCCAAAAATCCCGAACCGAACCGCAAAAAATCTCAATCCTAAATAAAAAATTTCCCAAACCGAAATTTCGGTACGGGACTCGGAATTGGCTTATCGATATTTTGTGAATCCTATACTGAACCGAAAATATATAATATTAATTATTATATATATATATACACATATATATTATTCTTTTATAATTGATGCTAGTAGTTTCTAATTCATGCTCTGCAACCCGGAATGCCCTGCACCTTGCATATTTTTCATGTTCTGTTTGATATTCATTTGGATTTTATTATTGCTGCTGTCATGGCTGATGATTTCAGAAGGCCTGATCATTTTGTCTCTCAACAGATTGAAAAAAAGGTTTAATTAATTTGAATTTTGACTCTAATAAAAACAGTCAAGCATGCCAGTGTTCGATTAAATGGTAGTGTGAATGAAATGACATTCCTAGTTCATGAATGTGTTCTTGAATTATATATTTGAAGAACAATTCATAATTTCATATTTCAATTTGGGATTCCCGATTTGTCCCAAAATTCCAAAAATATTTCGGGAATCCCGAAAATTTGGTTTGAGATTGGTCTTCAAATTCCCGTTCCGAAAATTTTGGGTTTGAGATTCGAGATACTAATTTCGGTATGGTATCCCATACCGAACCACCCCTAAACCTAGGTACCCCTTCAATCACTACTCAAATATATTGTTAAACTTCTTGTTACTGCCCCCACCTAACCATACCCCTCAAAATTAACCTTTTAATTTTGGGAATTTTAACGAAACACTCTCGGTACTGTTCACTTTTAATGAAAATGACATTTTTACTCTAAAAAGTCACTTCTGGTACTATTCCTTACAACATCTTTTTGTCCTTTTAATTAAAACTCAAATTTTTTAAGCCATTTTCATTAGTTTTCCTTTTAATTTTTCAAGTTTATATTTTCTTCTAATATTTGAGTGTGAGTGTGTCAATTAGTTTTAGGTCGAGTAGGATTTTTTTGTATTTGTAAGTCGTACTTTTTAGGTGCATGGTTAGTTTGACATTAAATTATTATAGCTCACTTATTTATATATAAAAAAAATTGTATTAAAGAATAATTTGGTGTTAATTGTTGTTTTCTTCTGTTGAAGCCCAAAATATCAAATGTAAGCTCAATAAAGCCTCAAAAGTCCAATTGTCATACAAGCCTCAAACAAGCTCAAAATACATGCCAAAGTACGGAATCAAGAAGAAGTTATGTTTGTAATCATGATATGCCACGTTAATTAAGGCATGCATTTGTGTAAATCACACCACGCAAACCCTCTCTCTCATGCTAAACCAATAATCTTCTAGCATTCACGCCACACTTCTCTTGAACAAGTTGTTATTTACTTAATCATGTCATTTTTAAATTATTGATCTAACCAAGATATTTCCTTAGACGAGGCAACTCTTTCGAGATATTCCAAAACTTGGTTCGAAACTGAACCAAAGTAGACTAGAAGACGTTTTCAAAGATCAAATCCACCTTGACCTAAAAGTCCTCCAACACCTTCTCTATCAAGTCTCTAAAGTTAGGTCTGTGTTGTTGGTCATAGGCACAACTCATCTATTAGTATGTCTTACCATATATCATCTCATCGCATAAGGGAATTGAGAGCACCATGTCTTTTCGTATTCCATAAAATCCTATATGTACTGGTGAACACTCTGTATTCTTTGTCTTTGTTTTTGTTGTAGTAAATAAATATTTTGTGTTTCATTTTGTTTATTTATTTATTTTAAATACAATTGGAACGAATATCTTTTATCTTTCAAATCACGGTTAGTGCAAATACAATCATTACGAGTTGAAATTTTGTAAAGGTGCATTTTTGTTTACCACCTTCAAGTGATAGTAATGGTCACATTTTATTTTTCACATGAGTTTAAATTTCGAGATATATGTAGTGGATAGACACAAATCTTAAATTATCAAGGTCTCAATCGCGAATTTTAGAATTAATCCATGTATCTAGTAAAAAATAAATGTTACAAAATATTAAACAATGCAAAAAAGGGGCAAATCAAAAGTAACTATTAACAAAAAATAGTGCCGCAAAAAACAAATATTAAAGTACGAAGATGATTAGTTAAGAGGAAAATGAGATCACATCGCAGAGAAGTTCACTCAGAATGGGTGTGGACCCATTTTGGGCGCAGAAGATCCTGTCACAAAAGCTCAAGGCAGAAGTAGAACCCGATGGAGGATAAGTTAGGGAAAGACAAAGAGATGCAAAAAGTCATTAGAATGAGCAGTTTTGGAGACAACTCTAGAATATTTTCGTGTTCTTCCCAAAACGCAGTCTATTTTCACAACTTTATGCAACTCATCTTTTTTTCCCTTATTCCACAATTTTCTGTTTTCACTCGCGTTTTCTCTTCCGACAAAACAAACAAACAAACAAACAAACACACTATTTGCTTATGTATGTTGAAATACGCAAGAGGGGAAGGAAACGGGAGAAATTTTTGGAAGTTGAAGGAATGGAGGGAGGGGGTGGGAAAGAAATGCCTAAGCTATTTTTTTGTTTCCTTTTTTACCCTTTATTCTATTGCAGCCCCCACCCAAACCTACCCCTTAAATTAACTTTTTCATTTTTTATTTTTTATGTGATGGTAAAGTGCATAAATTCGTAACAAGATATACTGAAAAATAAAAAAAGTGTTTGGGAGGAAATTGGATCCCACGTTTTTCACTCTTTATCGTTTTTACTCATGAACTCATCGGTTTGGAGTTGTAGGGCAACCATACAGTCGGTAACAACGCAGGGTCATCAAAATGTTTTAGCGTTCCAACTCGTTCATCTACAATTTCTCTACTCTGGTTTAATTTCTCATTCAATTCTACAATACAACGGATTCCGAGCAAGGTTCGGACTCGAAATTGGAGTCTGGGAGGAGCGGAGACGCCAAATGAATAAACACAAGGCCAGCAAAGTCTCGACACCCAAGTCCGGTGAACGTTAACAAAAGGACAGAGCCTGCCCGTAGGCAGGCAAAGGTAGCAGGATTTCCTGTATTTGTCAATGGCGTTGGAAATTCCATGCCAAAATATTGCAGGATTTACAGTTTGCAGCTTAAAATATAACAAGATGAGAAATAATTTCAGGGAAGCAAAGTGCAATTTACAAAGTTTCTGTGAGCCCTTTTTTTCTTTCAAATTTATCCATTTCTTTTACAAACAAGGGACCAATTCCACGAACCAAATTAAGCCGCTAGTTGACATCAGTTAAATTTTTGCTACGCAATAAAACAGATCAACTTTCTTGAATCAACATATTATAAACAATAAACAGAAAATTAAGGAAAAACAAAGGAAATTGAATACGAGAGAGTAAGGGATCTGACGACTTTACCCGCATCTGAAAACGCATAAAATAATGATAAATAATAATTTAATTAGAAAAAAGGTGGGAAAAGGAGGAGGCAGAGGAAATCATGGGACTTAGTGGCATCGGTAGGAGAAGAAGAACTCCAGATCCTCAGGTTTTCTCACCGAGCAACTAAGTCCAATAACTTCCTCAAACTCTTTCTCCCTTTCCCCCTTCTCTCACGTCATATTTCTTCCTTCAGCGGACGACGGACGCGACGCAACGCTTGCCTACTCCCTTTTATAGACACGACACAGAGAGCGTCACGAAGCCCTAATCAACCAAAAACTATTCGGGCCCAGTACAATATTGGACCCACTGAGCCGGCCCAACAGAAACCACAAACTTTCTTCTTTTTTTTTGTTTCATATTTTTGTTTTAAGTAGATTTATATAAAATTGAAGTATATATGATGATGCTTCCAGATGTTCAATTTAGTTAGAACCCAAATCAACATATACAAAAATGAAATAGGAGCTCATATTTTGTCCACCTTCCGGGCCATGAAGTCTTTCCACATTTTACCTCAACAAATTTACCGTAGCATATGACACTAATTATTTTTTATTTTACGTATTTATGTCCGTATTTATACTTACTTCATACCTGGTATATACCATTTATATACGATATCTTCCGATAGGAGGCATATGTAACATAAACATTTGGCTCTCCTTCTCATCTTATTACTGTTGTCTCCATCATCATAATACCCCTTTATTTTACCTGTCCAGATTGAACTGCCTTTGCCTGGGCTTGTTTGGAACCATCATCTTCTCATTCTCGGTGAGGGCGTGGCGGAAATGGCAGCGGTGACCGTATGGGCAGACAACACCCGAAAGCACCATCCTACAGACCTCGGTCTTGTAGCGTGGGTGGCGGATCACAGGGCGGAGCTCCTCAATCCCATGTGCAAACTGGCAGTGATCGCCGTAAGGACACTCTCCAACCTCCTGCCACTTGTTGCACAGCTCTGTCTTGAACATGCCTTGGTTGTACACCTCCAATTCCAGCGGTGGGTCCTCCTCTTTCACCCCTCTCGGAACGAACACCTTTTGCTGCATCATCCATCGTCATCATCAGTTCCCACCACCATCATTACACAAAATCAAACTGAAAATTAGTACACTGTTTATTAAAAAACTGTAAAAGCAACCAACTAGTCACTTTTTCTGTTGGAAAATTTCACAAACACCTTGTATGTCATCCGCCATTGGTGAACTTCCGAAATAAACAAGTGGCAAATTAAAAGCCGCATCGAAATTAGATTAAGAATTAAGCAAATCAAACAAACTAAGTAAAATCAAAACGGCATTAAAATTAGACTGAAAAATATTATTTTGTGAATTAAATTAAAGAAAAATCAATAGTGGAGGATGTAGGAAATAGCTTACCGAAGCATTGAATGTAGTGGCGGCGCGTGGTCGAGAGGCGGTCCGAGTCCGAGCGGCAGTGCTAGCACCGCCTTGAGGAGCAGCCTTCACGTATCCATCAGACCTCACAGATATGCTCTTAGGCAGCGAAAACCTCTCCACATCAATATTCTCGGCATCGCCGCCTTCGCTCTCAATCACACTCATAGGGCTCTCGTCGGACATGTCCTGCTCTGCTCGCTTGTCATCAATTGTCATGTCGCGAAGCCCGTTAACGATCCCAAACGGCGCGGTCGTCTGAGCAGAGGAGGGGGAACCGAATTGTTTCTGCACGGAGGCGTGGATAAGCAGACTGAGGTGCTTGTTGAGCTCGAGATTGAGAGAGCGGAGATGAACGTTCTCGCGGCGGAGAGCGTCGGCTTCCTCGGAGGTTTCTTGGAGGCGCTTGAGGCAGCGGCTGTGGCGGTTCACCATCTCCTGATGATCTTGAACGAGGAGCGAATTGTAGAGTTGGCGATGGCGGTGAGCTGAAGACGAGCTGTGGTCCGATTCGACGTCGTATTGACTGGTCGAAGCCTTGCGATCGAAAATGGCCGAGTAGAGTGAAGCGAAGACGGCGTCGTCTGTGTGGGATTGCGGCATTGCAGATGTGGCGTGGCCGCCATACGCGGTGTCGTTTTGCATCTGCGCTGTTGTTGTTTCGCTGCACAAAAGTAGCGTTAAATTCAATTCGCGACAGGAAAACAAGAAACCTCTCGCTTTATAATCAAGAAAAGCACGCAAGCGTACAGGAATCGTACTTTTTCTCGAAATTTCGCTTTGATTTCTTCAATTTTACTCTGGAATTTAACAGAGGAGTATTGTTGTGAATTTCTGAAGCAATCTAATTAAATAACGGAATCAGATCTAGGTTTAATTTCACATATATTGGAAAAATGAACACAATTATCGAAAAAATTGATGAGAAATCGAACAAAGAATTAAAGCAGAGACTGAAAAGCTGTTTGGATAGAGGGAAAACGGAGAGCAGGTTGTTTACCTTCCGAAGCGACAGAAGATCTTCTCCTCCTTCTCCTTCTCCTCCGTTGGAGTGAGAAGAGTGACGAATGGAGGTGCTCGGGTACGGAGGCTGGTTTTATAGGTGTGGCGGTGGAGGAGAGATTTGGAGGGAAAGGGAGGAGCAAAACAGATTCGAAACTGTTTTGGACAAGCGCTTAACTGAATGCCTCATCAGCATTTCAATCGAGGCGGCTTAGCCTTGTTTTGCCTGATCTGCCCTCACTATCAGACCAGCTTCGTTGCATTTTTCATGGTTTTTAAGTCATTCAGTAGCAACAATTAGTTAAGACTGAAAAGCAAGAAGTTGTTTATTTAGCTACTTTGAGCCTTTGGATTTTTATGTGCTTGATCGAACGGATTCAAAACCTCTAGGTCCCGCCAAACGCGGGGAATGATGAGATATAACGAACGGCGCCCCCCGCAGATGATTACTCTTTTGAGAGAGTGCCAATTAGTAAACAGTAACAAATACAGATGTTACAAATTCCGACCATCCAATTGAAATGACTTAATTGATCAACGATCGTTTATTTTTAGAACATTATTCATAAATTATTGAAAAAAAAAAAAGATAAATTCAAAACTACTAAGATAAACATTTGTAGTGAATAAAATTAACGAATACGACTTTACAAAAAAACTCTTAATCTAGTAGTCATATCGTTTCAGGTTTGGGTAATTTTTTATGGACATGATTTTTGAGGGAATACCTAAAAGATAGACGGTTTGAATCGTTAAAATATATTACAAAGTAGGTTCAACAAAAACGTATGTCAAAAGTTGTGTCATGAATCATTTGTCTAATTTGTATCAACTTATGGATTAATTGACATAAACGTACACATTCTATCAGCCGAGAAGGGGCAAGAGCAAGAAGTGGTCCACTTAAAGCAAGCACCTTACTAGTTCATGCTAAACCAATTCGTAGAAGAAGGCTTCACAAAACCCTGGTAATAATACAGTAAGGGTAGTGATATTCACACACCATTGTTACTTCTCACACATCCCTTTTAATTTTTAGTCATCGAATCGAATAAATTAAAGAAGATCAATGACAAAAAATCAATAACGGTGTGTGGAAACTAAAAACAGATATAAGACAAAAAAAGATAAAAGAAATGTCATTGTATTTTTTATATAATATTAATTGAATAGTGTTAACAATATACACATCAAGTTTTGTATTCGTAAAAGTTTCGAGTCATGTAATGTGTTATGTTCCGAATTTTTCCGAATTGTGATCGCTATCCATATACATATTGTTAAAAGGAGAGAATGCTAGAGCTACAGCTAGAGGATGTAGGTTATGTTATTGCTTGGTTTGGAAGGTAATTGAGAGACGGGTGAGGGGGGAGATCTTGCTTCATTTAGCCTTGTTCCATTAATTTTTAATTAAGGGGGTTAATTAAAGGAGCGATTAGGACGTGAGTAGCATTCAAATGAAAGATGGAATATAATCATCACTTTCTATCGGTTATGGTTACGGGGAGGAGGTTGCTTGTTTAACACAGCCGCAGGTGTAACAACCAGCTTGTGCTTTGGAGAGAGTTGATCTCCCATCAAAATCTAATATCCGATGTTTGGTGGTGAATGATAATAATATGACTGATCCCACATTGACTGCCTCCCAATAGCACTGCCACTAGTTAGTAACACATGTTCTCCTCAATCTAATTAACCTTTTTTTTTTTTTTTAGTACATCGATATTTTTATATTAAGGAGAGGGGGCGTTTGACAAAACTACACAATTGGCTGCCTAATTTGGTATCAAATTCGCCATCTAAGAGTTTTGAATCTAAAATATCTCACTTCTAAATGAAGAAGAATATACCGTAGCATTGAACGGCAACCTTTTTTTTTATTTTTTAAATTCAAGTTTTCATCGTACATATTTAATGAGAGGACTGTTCATTTTTTTTGTTCATCATTTAAAGATTATCTATGCAATAAATTTGAAGATAGTTTAGTTTTTTATATGTATGAAACACTTAATGATTTTGGTAACAAATAAGATGGTTGTGATTAATTGTTTATTCGTTTGACAACGTGTGAGACTCTCTCTTTGGTTTCCCAACTTTGCAAACTCCTTTGCCATTGGCCCTAGCCTTTGGCTTGGGTGCCCGTGGCTATCCCTGTCCAAGTTCCTTTTTGTCCTCTTTCCCTCTTTCTCCTGGTACTCTTCTCTCTTTTTCAATTTTCCTCTAAAATTTTTCTTAGTTTTCTTAACCTTTGTCTCAAATTTTCCCATGAGTTTGTCTCACTTTTGGGCTTCATGTCCCTTCTCTCCACCCATCCTTCTCATCTAGTCGTTCTTTTCCAAACACAAAACTCCATCTCCCCTCACTTTTCCCCTTACCTCCCTTCCCCATAAACTGTCCCTGCCTCATCCTTTGCTCTGATCTGCAGACTCCGGGTCAAATATGGTTGCCAGATTTATTTTCTTCCCTCACTGTCTCCCCCAAACGGCATGTCGATTTTCCCCAAGGCCGAGTGTACTGTGGCTTCGGCCAAAGTAAGGGTATTTTACATACCCCTTAGCCTCACATTCTATTCATGTGTTACTGTATTTGTATATATTTCAAGGGATTTGTGAATGCGATTTGAATCTGGTGGCGATCTTTTGGTTCCGCATCTTTGGTGAAGAAATCTAGATGTGGTGTGCTTCTTGTTGCAGGTTTGGTACGTTTGTGTTGTGATATCTTGTTCGTTTTCACCACTTGGTCGTTTTCTCTGCTGTTGATACTTCGGTAGCTGCTGGCAAGACTTTTGTGGCGGTGACGTTGATGACGGATGCTGCTTTCTGCGTTCAAAAATTAGGGATTTGGGTTTCCATTTTAGTTTATTTAATTAGGTTGGACTTTTATGTACATGTTTCTCCCAATGTATTTGAGTTATTTTGCCTTCATTTATGTTGGCCTGTAACTTTCAACCGCATTAATGGAATTATCCTTTCAGACCAAAAAAAAGGATGGCTAAAGCATTTTCATTTTGAACGTTTCTTGCAAATACGATTATCTAAGTGTAAATTAAGAAAATGAACCATTTTGATTAGGACAAGTGTATGTTAAAACTCGTTAACCACAATTTGGTGGACAATAAATAACTGTTTTTGGGTTTCTGGTTCACCACACGTAAGGCGCGTTCTAAACCATCTTATTTCTTTCTTTTGTCGAGTTTACGAATTCGTACGCAACCTTACTCTTACTTTGTAAAGAGACGTTTCCATAATTCAAACTCGTGATCTTTTCTTCACAAATGAGTAAATTTTCCATTGCGTTGAGGCTCGAAAAGTAATTTCCAAACGTGATATTTACCAACAAGGAAATCATATGGCATTAACTGAAGTAAATTTTTTTATTGTGTACCGTAATGTGAGACGAAATAAAAAATTTTAAACGAAGCATGAAAAGTGAAGTATTTTTGAACCAGAAAATCAAGCTGTACAGGTATATGTACAAGAACAAGACGCATCCAATGCAGAAGTTTAATCAGCTTCTTCTTCTCATCAGAAGTCACGTTATTCGCGTCCAAATCAGAGTCTTCTCTCCTCGCAACTCTACCTTTTGCCCGCCTTCTTAAGTCAGGCGTAGATTTTCAAGATGGATATCGATTTTTTACTCTGAAGTATGAACATAGACGAGAACAGATTTTATTGATTTAGATAAGAACCTCGTATTTGAAAGGTTTAGAAGAACAGAGAATCCTTGTACTTACAGTCGGGAATGCTTCCAATCTTTGTTCCTCCTCCTTTTGCTTTCATGCTGCTTGAGCGCTCCCCTCCGGTGATGGGGGAAATCTCGCTGTTATGACAATCATTCCCACTGCTTTCGGTGCTGAGCCTTGAAATGCAGAACGACTGAGTTGAAGAACACGGTTGAATAGGACATGGAGAATCCATGTTTTCTTGACTGGTTTTCAGGTTTGTTACAAGCCTTATCGTTGTCCAAGTGAGCAGACGGATTAATGAAAACAGACGAAGCCTCTGATGCATCATGTTCCTGCCAAATGATCATTTAGGAATAGAAATGAGAAAAGAGTTTAAGTCAGAAACCAGAAGAGAAGGAAAATCAAAATTCGTAAGCTGCACTTGCATTGCCATTATCTGCTTATCAAGGGATATGCCCTTCTCCACTGACGAGTATGACACATCTTTATCATGAAGCACTGCTGTGATAGGATCTTGATCACCTCCGAATAGTTCATCGAAGTTTTGAAACGTCAGATCAACGTCAGGTATATTGAAATCATCGGGACAAACAAGTTCTTCACAAACCCCTATGTCTTGCATATTTTGAGGCCACAGCTGCAAAACCAATAAATGTGTTCTTATCTCTAACTAACAAGGCCTAACTTTTTCAGTTGTTGTTGGACAGTATTAAAACTTAATCATTCTCTCGTGGCACTTCTAAACGGTAGCAGATCAGTGTTTAAACGAATAACAAGTGGTGTGTAACTACATATCATTCCAAATGAATCAATTTCACAGGCATTGATCGAACCTGATTACTTTGAACCGGACTTCTGCACTGCCAAAATGATTCTGTATGCAATGGAAGTCCAGCAGTTGAAGATGGTTGCATATTATGCTCCATTTGAGAAAATGGAAATGATAAATGATCAACTTTCAGTTCCTGAACTGGACTGTCCCTTTGCTTAAATTTAATGCCGGCATTCTGAGAATGTTGAAAACGCTGATCAAGATGAACATCGAGCCTCTTTGATGTCTGAAGTACCGAGGAAGATAGGTCACTTTGCTCTCTACCGGGTATCAGCAGCGAAGGGCCATTTCCCTCAGAAAACTGAATCCTTTTCAAATCTAGAATCTGGTGCAGAATGAAATTGTTCTCTTGACCTTCAGGAGATATCTGCAAGATAGAACGCACTGAGATACACTTCAACGCACAAAAACTACAGCGAATTCCCAAACCTAGTCACAGAAGACTGCACCTCATCAATAACGGCGGATGTTCAATATCAAGAGAAACTCCAATTCTGATACTCTCACGCTTTTTAAGCGCGGACAAATATAAACTAGTTAACGAATATTTACATACCAAATTCATATTGTATATTTAAACAGTGCCAATTAAACTGTCAGCCAAGTTTAAGGAGAACAATTAAAAGTTCCTGCATACCTTGTATTGTTGACTGCTCGATCCCGCTTCAGATTCAGCACCTGAAATCCGGGTGAGAGAATTTGCTGCCAGAAGGCCTTCAGCTCGAGAGCAAGACTGCTCTAGACTATCCAAGTTTACCGCACTTGAGTCGCACGAAGAGCCACAAGAATTGGACAGAGTCCCATTCAAATCCAAATGTGCACTACAATTGTCTGTCTCGTTCAATTTGAAACCCCACAATGCTGCAAAGTCCTCAGCAGACGGGGAACCTGTGTACGAAAATTCTACAATGCATCAATGTATGTACTGCATATTTTGCGGCCGTCAGATATACCAGTTCTATCTTCTATCTGTCCAGTTGAGAATGTAGTGCATACATTGATGCGTACTAGAAAAACTCACCTGTGTAACTGCCGATTGCCCTTTTTGGATGTTGGGAGGCGATCGTGTGCAAAGCACGGTCACAGGCACGGCACATAAACATCTTGTGATCCAAACACTGAATACAAGCCGGGAAATGTCTACACAAATCACACAAGATACTGCGCAAATGCCGGTTGAAAAGTGTGTTTGCCGAATGGACCTTAGCATCGCAGGAGAGGCAAAGAAGTGCTGCATCAGCTTTGCAGTACACAACCGGCCTCAATGCCAAGCAGAACTCACAAAATTTCTCCATTTTAATATCCTTCCAAACTTTGAAACCCCAAATCTGCCGAGCCCTATTTCTGTCAGATATAACCAACAGGAAATGTACAATCTTTTTTGCATGTAAATAAACAAATATACTATTTGGGATTTTCTGATTAGATCTTAATAAGATCAGAGCTTCATGTTTCTCAGCTTTTGGATCGGACGCGGATGGTTGAGAGACAAGGCAATGAATCTTTATGCGTTAACCCAACGGCTAAATGATTTCCGATTTCGGTGAATTTCTAGGGAGATGATCTTTGAACGAGAATCTAAAAAATAAACTGTTCGGATTGTGTGTTTAAGTTAATGATGCGTGGTTAAACAAGTTATTAAGGCTGCATTAAAGTTTGAAATTTTAACATCATATAGAAAATTCAATTATAATTTCAAAAAAAATAAAAAGGTTAGACGAAATTAGGAGAAAAAGTACCTCTTCCGTAGAGCAGGGAATTAAAGGTGAGTGAGAGAGAGAGAGAGCACAGAGCTCGTTTGTTTTGGTTATCTTCTACTTCCTTCTTCTTCCTGCTTTTATCGCACTTTATGGGTCTGACGTGGACATGTAAGAGGGGAAACTTTTCCAGCGTGGATTCGGATACGTGGCTCTTGGCAATAGGATCATCATCCATGTTATCCAGTTCCAATTGACTGAGAGACAAAGTGTGAAAGCACGTGAATTACGCGATCCATGTGATCCGAAGTCTCACTTGCTGTTTCATTTTCTCAATTTTCTTTCGGTTTCTAATCCACACATCTTCGCTTCACACGATTGATTTGAAATAATACCACAATTAAGAATTCTGCAGTTCCCGTTATCGAAATAGGCTGAAAATAGCCATTTTGGTTTTGAATTTTGATTACGAATGGCTTAAGAGATGGAAATAGCACCTCAAAAAATTGAACATCTGCAGATAACTGGATCGTTTGTAAATGTTTTTAAAATGACTAAAAAAGTTCTTAGAAAAAATATTTTTGAGTCCAAAAACGTTATGTGCCTCTTGTAGGAAGCATTTAAAGTGTTTTTCCAAGATTCACTTGCATTTTTACAAGGATTTGCTCCAAAAATCTTCACCAAAATCGCTTTCAAACATTGTAAAGGCACTTCTAAACGAATCCTAACAAATCACAAATTCCAGCCAAAAAAAGTTATGTGCCCGTTTAATGCAAAACAGAATTAGGGAGTATTGAATCAGATCCACTATCCACGTTCACATGAGATTTGTGAACAATAATTTCACAATATAATGACACGCTATACAGTTAAGGAGCAGGTACTGCACAAACTACAAGCATACACCAAAAGACGCCGGTCAAAGGCCCTTCCAGTCCCCGTCAAAGATTCATCAAGGTGACGGATTAAGTTCTTCGGTTGAAGAAACACCTGAATTCAAAGAGGAAAGCCGTATGAGTTTGAAAGGAACCAGAAACACAAACTATTATAGCTAAAACACAGACAATGTGCAAATACGAGAAATAAGCATCTAAAACAAATATTTGTCGACAGCAGCAGTAACGAAGCAAAGTTGGATTAGATTTCTTAAAACAATAAACTCAACTGCTAGAATCAATATCTAGAGTACTGATATTTCAGCCTTAGGACCAGCCACGGTTACACGATATGACAATTATTCCACTCCGAGATCAAAACTTCGTAACTTGGTTCTGCCTAAGAACAGACTTTCCTGGTACATCTAATGATTTTAATGTGGCAACATGTTTATGAGATTCCCCAGTTCTGAAGCCAGCAAAACAGGTTCTTGCTCTTAACCAACCCAACCATGTCCACTCTTTCAAATTTAAGAAAAACCAAGCCAAGGCTTTTGCTCCTAGTTTCCTTTTTCCAGAAAATTTGATGTATTTATACTTTTATACCTAAAACGTCAATATCATGAGTGTAAGGATGTACCCGAAAGCAAGAATGTGAAAAGCGATGCAAGTTGAAAGATAGATTGCGAAATCATAATTGATGCATTACCATGTCATCTCGAGGTAAAATGCACTTCAATAATGTCATTTTCCTCCATCCCAAGGGCATCAGGCGTAGCAGCTGGACCTATTTTGTCCCCATCAAAACAAAACACCAGACTCTGAAGGTCAAGTTTAACATTATCGGCATACATTTTGAAGAGCCGCTCAAACTTGTCGTCCTGTTGAAGTAGAAGAAAACACAATTGAAATATTACATTGTTTAATATCACATAGCCCGTACATACATCAGAGATTAGGCCAAAGAGTACTAGACAAAAATATTGTAAAGGTTAATAATTCTGCACAACATACCGCATAGATACGGAACTGCTTAACTCCATCTTTGTCTTGAATAGATATAACTATTTTGTTTCTTTCAGGGCGGGGCTTTGGAGGTTGTTCTTCAACAGCCTCCAATGAGCTACTAAGTTCTCTTTTCACAGACTCCTCTACCGACCTCAACACATTTTCAGCTGATTGTGCAAATGATGCCAGCTCTTGCTTCTTTTTCCTACACTCACAGACCACACTTAATTGGAAAATTTGAATTGCAACAGAGAAACCAAAATGAAAAAAAGGTAAAGCAAAAACAACAAGCATAACTAGTCATCACTATATCTGAGACCCAAATAAAGCCTTAATGTTCTAAGATAACTGGCCACATTGAACTATACTTCCTTCATAAAACAATAAACGCATAAATTCCAATTACCAACTTGAATCTAATGAACAGGAAAGCGCATGCACTAGCCGCTAACGCATCACAAATTTCTTCTTGAGGCAAAGATAATCTATATGTTTTGAGAGATAAAATAATTACAATAAAAAAACCCACAAAAACCCAAAATCCAAATACCTCAGTTCCATTATGGTAGAATCCTCACCCTTCCGCTTAGCGCCGGCAGAAACCTTGGGTGGAGGACGTAACCAGTCCTCCTCTTCCTTATCTTCACAACTAATAACATTCACTACCTTCACAGGTTCGTCAACCTTCTCAACCTAATCACAATATTATCCAAAATAATGTCAACAGATACTGCAATTTACATCAATTCCCCTTATCATATGGAATTTAACACACACACAGAGACATAGTACAATTTCAATAACAAATTGTTACCGCGGAATCGGAAATTTCCCTCCTTTTCGGAGGAGAAGCTGACGGAGCATCTAATTCATCGTCTATACAAACATAAAAACAAAAACAAAAATCGAATCAAGCTTTTTTTATGAAAAAGTTGAATAATTTATGCGTCCCGTCAACTGAATCGACCAAAATTAGGAGGAAAGAGCTCACCGTCGAGGCATATTAGATTGACGGGCTGAACGCGACTGTAATCGAATAAGGGCTCGAGCTCTTCGGAAAAATCCTCCTGGAAAATCAGAAATTACAGTGAGATGTGCTACCACTGCTGAGTATAGTTATAGAATAAAAATTGAAATTTGAACAAATTAAAACCCTAATGCGTATGGAGTGAGACTCTCACCATTGTCGACCCGAGAAATCAGACTCTGCGACTTTTCAATTCAATTTAATTCAAGTGATGGTTTAAAGCAGAGGATCCCATCCGGATCCAAATGGTGGGTATCTTAAAAGATTCCCACATCCTAACCATTCCTCGTATATCATGCTCGTCAATTTTCGTTAATACTTTATATATTTAATTTTAAATAATAAATTCAAATAATTTTTTACCAAATAATATATGATAAACTCCATGTGAGATGTGAGGATATGGAATCCTCATGCTTTTTTAGCGTCCCGCCGAAAGAAGCAGCCTAATCAAACACAGTTTCGAAGAAAAAAAGGGCAAACTACTTAAGAACATGGGCTCCTTCAATTTCTGGTTAGTAATTTGTCCTTGGGTTTGGTCCTAACCTAATTCCGAACATGGGGTCCTTCAATTTCTGGGCTGGGCCTGATCTATTGATCCAATTATCCAACGTGCCAAATATTTTGCAGGAATCATGCTCTTCTAAGGTTCTCATTGTACGGATTTGTGAAGACCAAATGCTTAAAATATTTGACAACTTAATAAAACATATTATGTTTTGAAAAACTGGATGGTTTTTAAATTTTTATATTATTCAATGATACATTACGAGTAGGGGATAAACTTATATCAAACCCGTCAGTCACGAAATTCGAGTCTAAGAAATCTTGATGATTTTAAAGTATGATGACAGGATTTTGAAAAGTTGCGATGATATTTTCCTTGAACCCTTATTTAAGGTGACATTTAAAATTGTTGTATAAAAAAGATAATCATTCATTTTTACTTGGGTGAACTACTTAAGACTCTCAAAGTTTAAGGTCGACTTCAAATTAGTACCGGAATTTTGATGGCTCAGCAAAGTTCAAGTAGCAGTTTGGAATCAACCTGAACGTTTGAATAATTTTAGGTAATTCACTCCTCTCTTTTTTTTATATGGCATATAACGAGAATTTTCTTTTGTAAAACAAAAGTTATATTGAATTAATAATATATGGAAGTTTTACAAATTAAAAAATGATTGGAGTGCGGGAGCGCTTACCAAGAAGCCTAAGGCTACTCCCGCCACGCCAACAGGCGCAAACTTTGTTTTAATTTTTAATATAACGAGTTATTCACACTAATCGTGACTAAACTAGTTGCTCAAATTATTTTCTATTTAATTATTGAGTAATCTGACTCCAATTAAATTCGTCTGTAATATATAGGGCTAGTTATTCGTAATTAACAGATTTAGTAACATTATCTGGTACTCATGAGTAATAAGCTTAAGCTGCAATATAATTTTTATTTTAAAATAATACTAGTCATTTTAAATATTAGGAAATTAAGTTTAGAAAAAAAACCTCATTAAAACTCCAAATAACTAACTCTTCGACTCATCATTTCTTGGAGCAATTTTATACTTTCAAGAGAAGTCAATTCAAGCCACGTGTCAGAGTTTGTTGCTGACTTTGAACATTATTTGGATTTTTTTTCACTTTCCATCAAAATTAAGAATTGGGATTAAACATTATTGTTAATCAGGATAAGGGCTTCTAAATTAGTCATTAGACTTTTGAATTAATTTGCCTAAAAAGCTCATTGGTCAAAAACCTTAATATTAGGGAAATTTTTCATAATTTTTTTTCTTGTTCTATACTTTCCTTGTAATTATGCAGAACATGCATCTGCAATTTTTTTAGAAGTATAATAACAATCAAGTCTTAATTGAGTGGAACCGGCCGTAAGAAACTAAGTACAGTTTGGACATGTACGGTTTAAAATTACATCGACAATCTTCGTTGTAATGTTTTCTGTTTTCAGAAACAAAATGAATGGCTAAAACTTAAAAATGCATGAAAAATAAGAAAATAATTGAAAATCTCCTTCACTTTTTCTTGGTACTTCAGTTTCTAGTTTTAACCACATTGGTCAACACTGTGTTGACCAGAGTGTGGCCATTTCACTCAAAATTTCAGGCTCACTACAATTTCTTCAGTTATATAGATAAATGTGAGCTCTCACAACAAACAAATTTCAATTTTGCTTAAGCACCTCAAAGTTCATGTCATTGGTGGTAACCCTCATCTTCTCTCTACATCTTTCTCTCTCTATATCTCTCTCTCAAGGTTTAAGGCCTTGAAGCTTCTTAATCTATATCTAATCCTTTTTCTATGATATTAATCCTCCTAATCTAACTTCTAAATGATTTCTTTTTGTTCAGATTCAAGCTTTTGGATCTCGTGCTTTCTCTGTTGCACTTAGTTTTGTTGTAATTGTTTTGGTGTCCATGGAAGACATGAGCCCTAAAGAAAGTAATGGTCTCCCTAGCTTTGCCCATGGCCTCCAAATCTTGGTGGTAGATCATGATACATTGTCCCTCATGTGCACAGCGTCGACGTTAGAAAAATACTCCTTCAAAGGTAAATCATTCCATAGTGACATCGATATGAAATTTCACCTACATTTTATGTATACACGTCTATAACAAAGTAATTGATTTTAGATCGAAATTTTGAACTTGTTTGTGTGGATCTAAGGCATGAATAACAAGGATTTTCTTATGAACAAGGGACATTTAAATGACAGGGATTTTCTTATGAATAACAGGGATTTTCTTATGAACAAGGGACATTTAAATGATTAAAGTAGTTATCGCATACACAACGATATAAGATTTATCCTAATATTATCAGTCTATATAATTTGTTTGTCTCTATATTGCATTAAATCTTTCTTGACATACACATTAAGATAAAATTCTTTGATTCTATCTGTTTATTTGTTTGTATAATTTTTCGTTGATAATTCCTTAAATAAACATTAAGATAAATTTTTTCTGATTTTATCTGTTTATTTGTCTGTATAATTTTTCGTTAAAATTATCACTTGAACATTTATTGTGTATAGGCATATGTATTAATTTTCTTTCATATACATAATTTGTTTGCACATAAAGTTTCAAAAAAAAAAGAAAGAAAAAAAATCTTGATATTTTGTAACTTGGTTAATAGCTCTCTCTCTCTCGTTTCTCCTCTAGTTACCACAACCGCCCTGGCTTCTGTTGCTTTGTCGATGATTAAGGAACAAAGTATCATTACGATCTAGTAATGGCTAACATCAACATGCCAGATAAAGACAGATCTTCGCTTTTACGGGTGCTTCATAAGAACGAGATTCCTGTCATATGTAAGCCTCAATCTATCTAGAACTTTCCTATTCGGATTGATTGGCTTCTAGAACTTTCTTCTAGATGTGTACTAACTGTTCCATAACTTATATTTCATCGCAGTCATGTCCTCCGAAGTGAATATTGATGTCGCCAGGAAGGCCCTCGCTGAAGGAGCGTGCTTTTTTCTTCAGAAACCAGTTTCTTCAGAGGATCTGAAAAATGTGTGGCAACACGCTTATCGGAAGGTAAGGAACCCAAGGAGGGACACACATAAAACAAATTGTGGCAAGAAGATTCACGAGGCCGGTGGTGTTCTTAGACCTCCCACTGGAGGTATTAGAATCCATGAGGTTGGCGGTGTGTCTAGGCTTCCCACTGGACGCGATTTGTGTCTTGACACACAAGACACTCGCAATGAACCGCAGATAGCCGCAGAGAATTATACACAAGGAGCATTGGGGATAAACAGACCAGTCGATGATAAAGAAGACCAAGAAAAAGCGAAGAAGGTTAAACTAAACACACAGCAAGATTGCGATGAGGAAGGAATGGAAAATCAAGATTGCGATGACAGCTCCAAACAGAAGAAGCGGCACCCCGTTTGGACAACGGAACTTCATCTCAAGTTTACAGCAGCCATAAGTGCGTTAGGAGATCAAAGTAATTCTTCCTTCTCATAAAACAATCTAATATTTTGTTGTAGTTTTCCTTTCACCTTGAAAAGGTGCTAAATTATTTTCGTTTTCTGGTTTTCTTTTGCATGCAGAAGCCCGTCCTAGAAGGATTCTGAAATGGATGAATGTGCCTGATATAACGGTGCGCCAGGTTGCAAGCCATCTGCAGGTTTCTCTTCTACTTGTATCTCAAGTAACTTTTTTTCACATTTGTAATTGTTTTCAGAAGGATTTATGTTAGGTTCTTTTTCCTTCCAGAGATATAGAAAAAACGTACACCGGATTCAGGAGGTTGGCACGACAAGCTTACCTTCATTAGGCAAATCATCCATTTGGAATAACAGAAATGAATTTCCACCAGCAAGGCAGACTTCTCTGGTATGCCGCCCGTACGAACAAGGGACTTCAAGTTCTGGAGCTAAAGGCAATCCAACGCAATTAATGACTCCGAATTCTTTCACCGGATTCAATGACTACGGAAGGCAGAATCTGTATACAGAACACAGAGTCATGTCTCACAACACAAATCATCAAAGCGAAAGCCTCTATGACTTTTATCTGAGAACTCAAGGAAAGTTTGAGAATTTGGACCAGATATTAGAAACAAACAGTTTCACACTAGGTGCTGACATGAATGAAATCCAGAGAAACCAACCACTTGGATTAGAAGAGATCATGTTTAAAGCAAGCGAAAGAACCTTACAGAGTACGAACTACATGACACCAGAGTTTGGTTCTCCCTACATACCAGCAAATACTTTTCAGGTCCCGAATGCGTCTGTCAGCATGAATCAAGCGCAGAATTATTGTCCAGCACCGACTGCTCCGTTCAATGCCCAAAACCAGGACCATTTTTCAGCAGAAGCCATGAGAACAACTGAAGTTGGCCTGAATCAAGCGCAGTTTTATGCTCCAGCGCCGACAACTCCTATCAATTCCCAAAATCAGAACCATTTTTCAGCAGAAGCCACGAGAACAACTGAAGTAGGCATGAATCAAGCGCAGTTTTATGCTCCAGCGCTGACTACTCCTATCAATTCCCAAAATCAGAACTACTTTTCAGCGGATGTCATGGGAACAACTGAAGCAGGCATGAATCAACCACAGTATTATACTCCAGCCCCGACTGCCCCACTCTACTTCCAAAGTCAGAACCACTTTTCAGCGGAAGTCACCGGAACAACTGACGTACTTGAGGTTGTGCCGGAACAGATACCTTCAGTCAATGCAACCAATGCAGAAACATTTCCAGCAAACTTTACCGGTGGAAGCCAAGAGCTGGATGCTGCAGCAAGAGAGGCTCATCCAGCTAGTTCAAACAATAACCAACCCATGTCGGAGTATGATGATCTGTTGAAGCTGCTTGAAGAAGATCCAGAGAAGTTCAATTGGTTTGAGCCGTTTGACAGTGCACCAAATGCAGGTGATGCCAATCGTTACCGTGAATGGCTGACGGAAACTTTCCTTGAAAAGAGCCCGGATTCACTATAGTTCATGGGCTCCGATGCAGGGTTTCATTCAAGCATGCATTATATTTCCTTCAAGTTCGTAATTTTAGTATCGGTTTAGAGAAGACTTCCTGTTTCTCTTCCATCTTTATGTTGGTTAAAAGTTTGTTTGTATCAAATCAAATATTTGTAGTCAAATGAGACTTCATTTCTATAATCTGGAAAATTATTACCATACAATGAGTAATTTACACAAATTAAGCCAATCAGCTTTTGATAATTCCATGTGTAGATTTTCTTAAAAACTAAACCTAGTCTATAGATGATTGCAAGAAGTGAAAATCATTGAATATACAGAAGTTCATGCTTCTATATTCGTTATAGGACCTTTAAACCAGTGCCGAGCGCTCAGTATCCAAGCTAAAACTGTGACGATCAGCAAACCGCCAACAGCAATGGGAGTATAGTTGAGTGTCTCGATGGTAATTGGATAGGCCACGGGCAATGAGAAGAGGACAGAGATAGTTGCTACCCAAAGAACTGAAATCCAACCAATAAGGACCCCGTAGCGTCCCAAGTTGAAAGGTCCCGGGACAAAGGATTTGCGTGCCATGGTCACCCTAAAGAAGATGGGTAGGGCATAAGCAATGTACAGTCCAATGGTTGCAATAGAAACCATGGCATTGAATGCCACAAGGCTTCCGAGAGACTGCAAAGATCGAAACAAACATGGTTAGCAGTTGCCGAAGAAAGCAGAGATAAAATTTTTGCTACAAGTGATCATGTGCTTACTGTTAGTGCCATGCAAAACGATATGAAAGCTGAAAGCCAAACAGCGTTTACGGGGACTTCGTGTTTGTTCACTTTATGCCAAAAGGGTGATAATGGCATGGCTCCATCTCTAGAGAATGCATACGCCATCCTGAGAAGAAAATTAAGTGCAGCGAACAGCTGAGAGACTAAAACCTACCCAGATGGCTCTTGTTGTAGGAGAAGAATAAAACAGGCTCGCTTACCTGGAGTTGCTAGTAACTGAACTCATACCACAGAAGAATATGGCAACCGCAACCACTCCCAAGCATACAATTCCTCCAACTCCACTGCCGTATCTACTCTTGAATGCAAGGTAAAATATTTCAGCAATGGCATAACCGCCAGCTTCATTGTTCTCATCCAAAAGGTACGGGATGTCAGTAACTGCAAAGGTGATGCCGAGTATGTAACCCCATCCAACGATAATGGATATCACGATGGAACTAATTATTCCTTTTGGCCCATTCGTATCAGCACTCTTGGTTTCCTCTGTCTAGAAACAGAAGTCGACGGAAACACAAGGATTTAGTTAGAATTATTTGGCCAAGTAATTTCAAAGTAAGCGAAATATATACTAACCATATGGGCAGAAGCATCATAGCCGGTTATGGTATATTGACTCAACAGAAGTCCCAGAACAAAAATGTGAAATTTGTTGCTGACTCCCTCCCCGTTATCGGTGTTGAAGTGAGTGAATACAAACTTCGCACTGGCCCTCTCCGTTGCAACACAGGGTATGAGAATCATGAGGAGAAAGACGCCTAATATTCCAAAAGCAATAAGAAATCCAAGATATAGAAGGCCTCAAACAGTAAACTGAAAACTAGCAAAAAAGAGCTTGAAAATACGTTGTAATTTACACCTGCAACATTCCACGCAGCAGCGACTTGTCCAAACAAAGATAGGTACGAGATGGGCAGACTGTTTATAAGAGCATGTAGAAACAAGATTCCTGCATGGATACCAATGGTTCCATACTTATTTATCGAAGTGCCACCACCGCCATTCCCTCCACGCGAGCTAAGGAGAACGATCACGTTAATCAGCTGTGCAAGTGAGAAATCCACGCTAGTTGTAACTGCCCACTGCAATTTAAAGGTATTGGATTATATCACAGCATTAACAAGCTTGATATCACAATGGACAATGGAGGAATTTAAACTCTAGAACGTAAAAATTCATGGAAGTACCTGACCAACTATGTTGAACCTGCAAAACATAAAAACATTTTCCGTCGTCAGAAATAGTATGGCAGAAGGATCAACTTGGAACTGTCTTGTGATTAAAGTTGCAGGGCAATATACATTTCAGTTTTAGGCTCAGAATAACATGGTAATCATATCACCATTCTAGTGTCCTTGAGACAAGAAATTTTTTATTATGACGGGAATACACCACGTGTTTTAATAGAAGTGGTGGGAAATTTTATTTTTTAAGTTATTAACTTTTTAGCACATATGTCCCACCATTTGAATAGTGACATGAGATGTATCACCCTGTGTACTGGTCACACTGAAAAATCTCTCCTTTGAGACATCACAAGCGGAAAAAAAAAAAAAAAAAACTCTAAAGCGGATGCATCAGAGCCTATTCCCTCCTCCATTCCACATTAATTCTATTAAAACTGATCATCATCACCGTCCTGATGTCTAATTTACCTTATCTAAAGACAGAGCTATTCATGTGAGCATGTCCTACATTTAATCCCCACCACGATTGTGAGCAACCAAAAAAAGAACTACACATCAACCTATGCCAAATCAAGTTTCCTTCACAAAATTTGGAAGTTGACATGCATGTCTTCAACATACGCTGGATCTAGTGACTTATCCAATTCGATCCAATCCTAGCAATGAAGCATCATAGCAATGAAGAAGGAAAGATTTTCAAACTAGTAAAAACAACTTAAACTTAATACACATACTCACAGACAAAACTCCAAAGTTTTATTCATTTTCCAGGCAGTCAAATCCTAAGTGAGTGAGTAGCACTGTTAGTAAAAGTAAAACAACTGAAAGGAGAGGAAAGTAGTACCAGCCAGTGAGCCAAGAAGCAAAGGGTGCCCATTTGGGGCCAGCAAGCTTGGCACTCCAGTAGTACAGACCCCCAGAAGTTGGGTACGAAGAGCAAATCTCCCCCATTGACAACCCAACGAAGATGGTGAAGACACCCGTTATAAACCACCCGTAAACGAAAGACACAGGGCCGCCGTATCTCAGCCCAGTATTATACAGAGTGGTTACTCCGGTGAGCACCGATATGATGGAAAACGAAAACGCAAAATTCGAAAGCAGCCTGCGATTCCAAACCAGCCAACCCATCAACCAAAAAAACCTCAGAAATCAGAAAAGCTTGAAGCTTTGGAATCAAAACGAAGTAAAAGAGTGCAAGTTTAGAAAAATTACGAGAGGTCACGCTTGAGCTCTTGCTTGTAGCCGAGTTCGTGGAGGCGGGCGTGACCGGAATCCTGTGAAACGCCGCCGTTTGGAGGCTGATGAGACGGCAGTGCCATTCTGTCACCGCCACCAGACACCATTTTTTCTCGGATTCAAAGAATCAAACCTCTTCTGGTACTCTGTTTCCTTGACTTCTTGGCAGGGTAGGAATAGTCAACGGGATGGGTGGGAATAGAAAAACAAAGAAGGGAGCTTTTGGAAGAAGAGGTGAGGCCAAACAGATCAGCCAGTACCAGTAGGCAAAGCACCTTGTCGCGCGGAGAAGATGATGCTTGCAACGTGGGACTTCCCCAACGACAATATGATTATTTTAATTTAATTTTCTGTTAACGGCGTTTCATCGTCGTCCCATAAACATTTTCAGCAATTGGTGCCAAACCTTTGGGTTCCTATTTGTTTGGTGTGAACGTTGAATTTTCTTGTCATGTATAATTTGGCTTCAAAGATGAAGCAACACGTAACTCTGAGGAAAGGCTTGTTATATGATACGTTGCAAATTTCGAATCTAACACTTGTGTGTAACAAGATTCAGAATAAATCTGTATTAATCTATATATACGAATTTATTCATAATTGAATTATCGAATTTAGATATAATCGAATATAAAATTTCATCAATTCACTTTCTGTTAATTGAAACCGAATTAAACACGATTTATTAACAGACAAAGTCGTGTGTGTAATTTTCCTGGTAAAACAGAGAAATGAATTTTCATGAGCTGACAACTTATTTTATGTCAGGTCATTGATTGCATGGCAATTATTAATATGGGAGGACAAACTAGTGTCATACCGTCAGTGATAACCCCAATAAATGGAAAGGGGTGTCATACCATAAGTGATAACCCTAATAAATGGAAAGGGATCCTCTTCAGATCCTTTCACCTGAGTCAACTGAACAAGAAATTTAGATCCTTGAAATTTAATTAAATGATTAAAAACAGGAGATCCTATTAAAAATTATAATAATTTTAGCCGTTTAATTAAATTTCAAGGACTCGGATTTTTTGCTCATTTGGCTCGGATTTTTCCCCAATAAATGATATGATAGACATACCATGTTGCACTAGAGATTTTTTTTCATATATCAAAAACACTGTTTGGTACATTAAGTATTATAATATAAGTAGTGAATATTTGAAAAAGAAAACTTTCAATCATTTGTATCATGACACTTGATTACCGAGCCATGTTTTCGCTATACTAAAAATTTTCTCGTATTACAAAAAATATCACTTTGGTTTTTTGTTTTTTGAACAAAGAATATACACAAATGGATGTGAGGAGTAGGCCTAGCCTCAATATACGCTAACAATAAAGTAGATCAAATTCGTTTATCACAAAAATCAAACTTAATTATTATGCACTCGTCCGTGCGTGATTTATTTAGGAACATAAAAATCAATAAAATGCAATTATAAGAGATTCTGATTTCAAATGATTAGTCCCTGTGGGTTTGAACATGGCCACAGAAAGAAGAATCTGAGCATTTGACCAAGTTGCCCATGTGCTAACAGTCTAATTAAACATTTATTAATCAATCAATGAGCAAGTAAAAAATTCCTAAAAATATCCCGTCAATGGACAAACAACAATGGTGGCCCACTAAGTGGGCCCTGGGCCTACCACTTCCTTAATACTTTGAGCTCACGAATTGTGGAGACCCACTTCATAAATTGGGCTCTAAATTATCATTGGCCCATATCCATCAAATTTTCAAGCATAAATCTTCATTTCTTAGGAGTTGAATTTAAGCGTGACCAATTTGGTTAGAACAGCATGCTATTTTTCTTTCGAACTAATTAAATTTGAAACGTTTTTCCACGATTAAACTCATATTAGAAAATCGCTTAAATAACAAAATAATTCGATTCTAAATTCTAATGCTATATTTAATACTTTCATAAAATAAAAAAACTTCAGAAACAAATAAAAATATTTTGACAAAAAATAAAAATCAAAAGAGAAAAATAAAAAAAGATAACTAATGAAAATGGCTTGAAAATTTTGAGTTTTAACGATAAGAACAAAATAAAGGGTAAAGTGAATAGCATTGGATTAACTTTTAATGTAAAAATATAATTTTTCGTTAAAATAAACAGTACTGAAAGCTTTTCGTTAAAATTCTCAAATAAAAAACGTACCAGCCAGTGAGCCAAGAAGCGAAAGGGCCCCACCGTTTGCCAGCGAGTTTGGCGCTCCAGAAGTAGAGCCCACCAGAAGTTGGAAAAGCAGAGCAAATCTCGGCCATGGACAGGCCCACCAGAAGTGTGAGAAAGCCCACTACGGGCCACCCGTAGACCATGGTAACGGGCCCACCATATCTGAGGCCCACACTGTACGTTGTGTTGAGACCAGTCAGAACCGATATGATGGAGAAAGTCATCGAGAAGTTGGCTAATGCCCTACACAACATAACATGCACCGTGTGAGTAGCGTATCCCCACCCTTTTTTTGCTCTTGAAAATCAAGATCACAAAAACGAGTTACACGAGATTATGAACAATTTTGGATTTTCTCGTCTTGCCTAACAAATTACTTAATTTATAAATCAAGAATTTTAGATTCGATTTTGTAATGTTATCTATACACGTTAGTTGTTATTTCTCTTTTTATTCTTCGTTTGTAACTTTTTGATTGCAGATTGGGTCGTAGCTAAGTAAGTTATTTATTTAGTGTGACCAATTGAATCATCAAGCGGAAAAGTAGAAAATTAAAATAAATTGACTAGATATTTGTTTAAAAATGTTATTCAAAGTCACTCTCGAATGTGACATGTTGAATCAATGAATGATATTCAAAAACAACGGCCAGGAAAATATGCAAAAGAAATAAATGGCATGAAACCCCACAAGCAATTTGAAACATTAAAAATTAAAAGAAAGAGCTTTTCCTAGTTTAAAATATCTATGAAATTGTGGATATAGGAAAATTTATGAAGATTCACTACAAAAATTTTGTAATTGCAGGTTTCAAACTTTCAATTTTCTTTTTAATTTTTTTTTCTAAGTTCGACTAAATATAAATAAGTTGATATACCCACCATATTACAAATGTCCAAGACAATCTATATCGATATTTTTATAAATTTGCTTCTCGTTATTTTCACCTATGTTAATGTTTTAAACAGTAGTTGAGAGTGACAAGAAATGTACCAAAATATCTGATGCATTTTCGATATTTTAGTGGAAATTAGCAATCTTATTATACGTGCTCGTGCTAGAACCGATATTCAACGACTAAAAGTCCAAAACAGCTGTTTGATGAATAAATGATAATCATCCAGAAGTAAACAGAACTTCAAAATATGTGATTGTGATGTGGGAAACAAAATGGACATGCAATGAAAAGTGCTTAACTGCATAAACCCAGAAGCACCAATACAGAAAAGTCAAAACTCAAAAGTGCCTTCAGATATACAGCAGAATCGGATTCCAGTACAGAAGAAGTTAAGGGTAAAAAGAAATTCAAGGGGATAGGGTTCATACGAGAGGTGACGACTGAGCTCTTGCTTGTAACCGAGCTGGTTCAGGCGAGTGTCGTCGGAAGAAATGGCGTCTCCGCCTAGAAGAGGCTGACAAGGATCTTCCTCCTCCTCCATGCTATCACTTGTTGCCCTCGATCGGTCGATCTCTCGAAGCACTGAAAGATTAAAAGATCTGTCAACTGTTGATAAATAGAGATAGCTACCTAACAGTCAAACAGAAACACATGGACCAAAGAGTTCAAGCATAAAAGCTAAAAGCAATTTTTCCAAATGGTGGGTAGAACTTATTAGAAAGTTAAGTCAAATGGGGCCAAACGCTAGATATGATCTTTAGTTTGCGTTGCTGGCAACTGAACTGCCATAAATTGACAAGTTTGAGGCTTGTGGGGATCTGCTTTTCTTTATTTTGCTCTCTTTTTTACCGTAATTGTTCAATTTTTCTTCAGTACAACTGAGCATGAATACAGAATATTTTTCTTACCTTCTGATTTGATCCTGCGGCTGCGATTGAGTGACATGTTGACAACACAAAAAAAAATTGTTAGTTGGCTTCTCTCTTCTTCTCTCTTACCAAACAAGCTAATTCCACTTCATCTTACTTGTGTGTCAATGCGTTATGTAACAGAAAATAATCACATAATGTTATACGTGTTAACTTCTTATATGATAATATCTTATTAGTTTAAAATATTGACACTGCGATATTGTAAAAGTCCTCAGCGAATGATCCACATCATGTATGTTCTTTTCCTACTTACCCTTTTTGAAGCAAGACTGGAATAGTTACATACTGTATAATTAATTCGTCTTATCATTGAATTCAATCACAAATTACCTTTGTCTAAAGAAAAGTCACAAAGTTATCTACTGAGAGATGATTGAGTTCTCAAAATATATAAAAACGACAGGCACGTAGGAAAATTTTAAACACACTTGATGAGTACTTCAAAAGGTCCCATGAGGAGTGAGGAGAACATTTTCACAGTTACAAACTGTTTAGTTATTACGACATCACTGTCTCAAACAGCCCAACTTTCGGACTTCTGATAAACAGGAAGAAAAGTGAAGTAAATAAAATGAAACTAAATGTACATCTGAATTCGAATCAGCAGTCATCTGCTAGTTGGCGAGAAGCAGCCAGCCTCTTGTAAATCTCCAAAACCAATCTGCTGTCAACTAATTGGTCACCACAAGAAGCCATTGAAATCTGGTCTTGGGGTTTTGCAATCTTCATAGCGGCAATCCTTCCCACACCCCCGGCCTTGCCCGCCATCCGAATCATCATGTCAACGCAACCATTATGCAACTTTGCCAAAAGTTTTATTGGTGAAACAAACTTCAGCAACCTCAGCTTGGTCTTGAGCTTCCAACTCCGCCTAGGACTGTTGCTCCCTTTAGCTCCTCCGCCGAGCGTGGTGACCCTCATCTTCTTTCTGGTCTCACCATTCATCCTTTGGTACCTTCTCCTCCTCCAGTACCTCTTCAAGTTGTCGTAGTATGTTGTCGGGACGATCTCCATTTTTATTGATTTCTACTAGCTAGTAGTGTGTCTGCACCCAGTTTCTTTGTTGTGTTTATATAAAAAGATACGGTTTTGAGGAGTTGAAAGAGGTGTGCCAAGAGAGGAAGTAAGAAGGGTTTATATAGAGGAGGAGAACTGTGTGCCAAGTCAGAATGGTAAGGCTAGGTCTTACATTCGGAATATAATCATACTAATTTATGAGAATACATATAAGTGAGTTTTGTGGTGTACTTGGTCAATATTGTACGTCTGACCAGGTGGGCTAATCTTG